TATCTTTGCAAAAGCAATTACACGGCTCGCAACAACTAATTTTATGCTCAGATACCGGGTCTAGGCAAGTGCTGTACAATGCTGCTGAAGACGCCATCGCAGTTGAATTCTTGAACGGTATCTTGTCATGTTCAGAGCACCTTAAAACCTTACTAGCAGGCATAAGAGCCTTTCCTAAATCTCCAGTGCACTCTGGGTATCAATCCTCTTCAGCAGCTTCCAAGGAGGGAATGCTGCTCATTATCTGAACCCAGAATGGTAATAAAATACTGGGTCATCAGAAATAACATGATGCATTTTTTTATAGGAAAACAGAAAAAATACGTCCTGACATTTCTGACGACCCAATAAATTCAGTCTGTGGAGTTTACTAAAACATGGGTGTGTTCGGTTGGATTTATACAAAGTATTGTCACCAAACTGGAGTGGGAAGAATAGCAGTGGAAAGTGACATTGTGTTTAATTTAAAACATCAGCCTTCTAATTGGAATGGGAACATGCTCAAGCGATTTAGGACTCCGTGCGTTTGTGAAAACTTTGAGTTCCATGAGCTGCACTGCGCCGTTCCACAAATGCCTGCTAAATGTAGTGGGGGGAGTCCTTCGGGGGATGTTTCCTCAGTTCACTTCCAGAGGACTCTCTCCAGAACAGTCCTGTGGTCTCCAGTGTTTGTTTTAGGTGTTTTCATTCAATTCCTGATGGCCTGCCAGAAACGGAAGCTGTTTTTTCTGGTAGAGGAGCAAGTCGATGTGCATTAAAAATTTGAAGACTTGGGACCAGTGTAATGGTTACGTCACTGGACTCCCACATAGTTGACTGTGGTTCGAGTCTTGCACCCAACGACTGAAGACTCACACCAGGTGCATGTGTGTATGTGCCCAAGATCCTGAGAGGAAAATGAAGGAGAAGGGATTGCAGCATGGTATTCCCCCCACCCCTGGGGGCGGGGGCAGTGATTTTTTTGCTTTCTGTCTCTCTGTATCTCTCTGGTGAGCGCACCCATCCCATAGAAAAATCTCTCTTAAAAAAATAAAAACTCAGAGACTGATTTTGATGGATATTAATATTGTTGATGCCAGAAAGGACCAGAGTCTTAGAGTATTTCTTTCCAGGATGCAGGGGGAGGGGTATCATCTAGGAAAAAGGTTAGAAAGCATACAAGAGTGTAAAAGAAACTTTAAAAGGAGACTATGGGGGGAACAGCAGTTAGCGTAATGGCTATGTCCCTGGACTCCCATGTGGTCGACCACGGTTTGAGTCCTGGACCTGCTGGCTTAAACTCACGCCGGGTGCTTGTGTGTGCGTGCCCATGATCCTGGGATGAGAATGGAGGAGAAGGGATTGCAGTGTGGCCATCCCTTGGGGGTGGGGTGATTTCTTGCTTTCTGTCTCTCTGTTTGTCTCTGTCTTTCTGGCGGGCGCACGTGCCCTATAGCAAAAACCTCTCAAAAAAAAGAAGACTATGGGGACCAGCAGATGGCATCATGATTACATCGCTGGACTCTCACAGGGTTGACTACTGTTTGAGTCCCGTACCCTGTGACTTAAAACTCACACCGGGCACGTGTGCATGCATTCCCAAAATCCCAAGAGGAGAATGGAGAAGGGGGTGCAGTGTGACCATCCTTTTGGGAGGCGATTTCTCTCTGTCTCTGTTTCTGTCTTTCTTGGGAGCACACACGCTCTATAGCAAAAATCTCTTAAGAAAAAAAGTTTAAAAAGGAGAATGTGGGACAGCAGAGCAGGAGAAAGAATAATCCTTTATTACTGCATCTTTGGAGATTGTGATTATAGTAGGCAGAGTGATGGTTCCTAAAGATACCTATGTCCAAATCCCCAAAAACCTGTGCAGGATGTTTGGCAGCACCTGCAAGGACATTGAGAGAAGTGTTATTTGCATTTCCATCTCCCTTTTTTTTTGGAGAAGTGTTCTGTTTTGTTTTGTTTTTGCTATAGGGCGTGTGTGCTCGCCAGAAAGACAGAGAGAGACAGAAAGCGAGAAATCACCCCCCAGGGGGATGGCCACACTGCAATCCCTTCTCCTCCATTCTCCTCTCGGGATCCTGGGCGCGCACACACACGCACCCGGCGTGAGTTTAAGCCACCAGGTCCAAGACTCAAACCGCGGTCAACTACATGGGAGTCCAGCGACATAGCCATTACACTAACTGCTGGTCCCATTCCACCTCCCTTTTCCCCCAAACCAAGGAAATCATTATTCATCAGTAGTAAAATTACTGTGTGCATTTGATGTTAGTTCTAGGTAAGGTATAAGTATAGCGTGTACATTGGCTTCTTTATTTTGAACTTGCCAGATGCTTGCGTTTGACGGCGAGAGGGAAAAAGAGAGAGAGAAGGAAAATGTGAAAGCAGCCTTCATAGGGACGGTCACAACATAGTCCCTTCTCCTCCACTTCTTCCCCTCTGGATTTGGGGCACAAAGGCACATACACGTGGCGTGTTTTTCAAGGCACTGGGCCCAGGACTTGAACTGCATGGTCAGCCATGTGAGATCCAGCTCACGTAATCACTAGGCCATGGGCTGGTCCAGCTTTCTTTCTTTTCAATCTTAAAATATAAATGTAAGTGTATACACACACACACACACACACACACACACACATATATACACACACATAAAATAAATAAATGTATTTCCTTTTTTAATTTTTTTATTTAAATAAAATTTATTGCTGTAGGGCGCATGTGCTCACAAGAAAGACAGAGACAGAGAGACAGAAAGTGAGAAATCACCCCCCAGGTGGGATGGTCATGCCGCAATCCCTTCTCCTCCATTCTCCTCTTGGGATCCTGGGCATACACGCACACACGCATGGTGTGAGTTTAAGCCACTGGGTCCGGAACTCGAACTGCGGTCGACCTCATGGGAGTTCAGCGACATAGGCATTACGCCAACTGCTGGTCCCAATAAATATATCTCTTTACCATGAATACACTGAGAATTTAGTCAGGAAAATTGGTTATTTCTAAACTCTGCAATAAGAGATCTTGGAGAAGTGGATGTTTCAGAGCGGCCAAGTATTATTTTGTTTTCCGGGTGTTACCAGGGAGGCCGCTCTTGAATCAGTCCCAGCAGTGAGCTGTGGCACAAGGAGCTGGTGTCACCCAGGGTGCAGTGGGCCTTGGTGTGCCCTGGTTTTGAACTTCAGGTGTCGATGTGATCAAAGCTATGTTTATCCAAGGGAAACCGGCATTTAGTGTGCACTGGATGGTGAAGTGGCAAGCTTGGAGTCAGGAGACAGAAGCACTTTTGTGGGAATTTCCAGACTTCACCAGCTCCTGTCCTTTGTAGATTAGGGGTTTGTCTGTTGGCAAGGATAGGCTGCAGAATTGATTTTGAGAGAGTTGTTGGAAGCTGCTCCTTCCTCTAGGCAAATCCCCTACCCCAGACCAGATGAGTTAAGGATTGGAGCTTGGGCTGGGTTTTGACTCTCATTGGCCCGCTTGGCTGGGCACCCTTGTGTATAGTACAACTTGTACTGCCATTTACATTGGCCTTGGATCAAAAAACCAGAGGGGGCAGTTTATACCTTTTTTAGGCCCACATTGAAGTCTGTAGGCAGCAAACATCTTTGCTGCCCTGATGAGAATTGAAGCTGACTTGACTTTTCCATGGTCCGCTCTGTCTCCCTCTCTCTGCTTCTCCCTCTCTCTGCTTCTCCCTCCCTCTGCCTCCCTCCCTTCCTCCCTCCCTCCCTCCTTCTCTCCCTCCCTCTGCCTCTCCCTGTGCTTGAAGTCACAGGATTGAGTTGTCTGAAAGCTCAGTTGTCCCACCTCACCCACTCGTGCTCTGGGAGAGCTGCCACGTGCCAGGTCCCAGAGCCAGGAATACAGTGACTGCACGCGCCCTGAGAGCGCACATACGCTGGGTTTCTGGCAGTGTTTTGTAGGTGTGCATGTTGTGATTTCTCTTTACTCACGGAAGCATGCTTTATCAGATTGTCGCAGCGCTGTGCCTTAATGAAATTCTTGGTGAGTTCAGGAACTTTTAAAAATTGTCTTGTAAGTTGTAATATAGCTTCAAATAATTGCTAATTTTTCAAAAACCAGTGCTGACTTTCTTTCAGAGACATTTTCATTTTAATATCAGTATCATTAACGAAAAACTTTCTGAATCACTCAAAAGAAGATTTAGTGGGTTGTGACTGCTTGCTCTTCATGTGAAGGGCAGCAGAAGGTTCCATCCTGTTGCCAAGTGAGTCTTCTACACATGCTACATGTTTTACAGACATGTTCTCACAAGACTTTCTCTTCTTCCCCGGAGAGATACAGGGCAAGAGTCACTGCTAACGCTTACCTTTCCACAGCCCCAGCAGAATGTCCCCTTTTCCATGGAGACTGCTGCTTCCCTGATGACTGCAGTCAAAGGTTACTTTCCAGCGCTCACATGCTAGAGACACTAGGCTGGGGGGGAGGAGTAGATTGCTGCTTATTAATTTTTAGAAACAAATAGGTTCACCGTCACCAGAAACACAGCGTTACTTGTGTGTTCCTAAATGTTTGTTTTTAAAAAAATCGTATTGCTGCTGCCTGGTCTTGAATAATAGGATCTTCTTGGTTTAGAAAGTGTTAAGCCCTTCTTAGATCTTGGCTTCAGAAAGTGGCACCAGAAGTTGGTATGCTTAGACAGATTTGGGGGAGGGTGTGATGGTGGAGTTGCAGAAATGTTTTTTTAAGTCTATGCGCTGTGTTCACCAATAAGAAAAGAAAAATAACATCATCTTGTCTACTTTAATTTTTTTCCCCAAAACTTTTCATTGTTCATAATAATGCTATCTGAGAAAAAAGGTATTCCTAAGTAAAACTAAGTAATTTGTCTAACTGATATTCTTTTAGCAAAGATTTCTGGTAATTAACCAAACCAAATGAACATTGCCTTTTTCGTTTTGTTTTTTGTTGTTGTTGCTGTTTTTTTTAGCATATGGATTTTTTTTTTTTTCAGTTTGTAACGGTCATTTTTGTGGGGGGGTATGTTTTAGGGCATCATTCAGAAGATAGTGGACAGTCACAAGGTAAAGCATGTGGCCTGCTATGGATTCCGTCTCAGTCACCTGCGGTCAGAGGAGGTTCACTGGCTCCACGTGGACATGGGCGTCTCCAGTGTGAGGGAGAAGTATGAGCTTGCCCACCCACCAGAGGAGTGGAAGTAAGATACAAACCTATTTTGGTGTGACGCACATGTGATTTGCTTTGGTTGTCAAGCCCTCACACAGGAGGGTGAATGTATGTGCTTAATTTTCACAGTGCTCCCCATTATGACTTCTGTCCAAATGAGATTGGTTAGTAATTGCTAACTGCCAGCCTTCTCTCCTAGACACCTGGTTGCCCTGGCTGTGGGCCTCCCAGCCTTCACTCCCAGCCTTCTGATTCTGTGTTTCATGCCGGGCTTCTGCTTGTCACGGCGCACACCAGCACTGTGTCTGCTCTGCATAGCACTCTGCCCTTCTCTCCTTTTGACTTCTGATCTCTTGCCATCCTTTTCCTGATATGCCTGTGAGGAAGTCTCCCCTGCGTAACCTCACTGGGACTCCTGGGGTACTATTATGCGTTACTCTGCAGCTCACCTGGAAGGAGTGGTTGTATATTTAGTATTCATACCCAGCACTGAAGTCAGCAGTTGTCCCAGGGACGCATATTTGAAACATTGGCAGTACACATTTTTTCAGGGTGAATTAAAAGAATTCTCTGGAATTATCCTTTCCCTGCTTTTCCCCAAAAAACTTTTTTCACTGTAAATTAAAATGTTAGTTGGAAATCATACATCTAGAATAGTTTTGAGAGAGATGCAGGTTGGAAAATGGACTTTCTCCTGGGCTCCTCGTTTTGACAGGGAGCACTGCAGAAATGAAGGCAGCTATTGAGGGAAGAGTGTGTCAGAGTCATCAGCTTTCAGTTCAAGGATCTATACTGATTGGACATTTTGGGATAAGAAAATGGACTTAGGTGAATTAATCTTAAGCTAGATAAAATCTTGTCCCAGTTACAGAATTCATTAAAATAATATAGTTGTATTTTCAAATTTATCAAATAGCCAAATGCAAGGTAATGAAATAACCCTGAGAACATAGGTTGGCTGGTTTCCATCAATGAGTAGGAAGATTTGACCTTCAGCTACTAAGTCAGTTATGCCAAGTAAGTGCTTGAAAACTAAGAATACCTGGAACCAGTAGATGGTGTAATGGCTATGTTGCTGGACTCCCATGTAGTTGACCGTGGTTCGAGTCCTGAGCCTGGTGGCTTAAACTCACTCTGGGCACGTGTGTGCGTGCCCAAGATCCCAAGAGGAGAATGGAGGAGAAGGGATTGTGGCATGGCCAATAAACAAAAACCCTACAAAAAAAAAAAAAAACGGACCAGCAGTTAGTGTAACGGCTATGTCGCTGGACTCCCACGTAGTCGACTGCGGTTCACGTCCCGGACCCGGTGGCTTAAAATTCATGCTGGGCGCGTGTGCGTGCGTGCCCAAGATCCCGAGAGGAGAATGGAGGAGATGGGATTGCGGCGTGGCCATCCCCCCTGGGGGGTGATTTCTCACTTTTTGTCTCTCCGTCTCTCTCTGTCTGTCTGGCGAGCGCATGCACCCTATAGCAAAAAACCTCTTAAAAAAAAAACACTAAGAATACCTAAAAGTTAGATAAAAATACCCATACATGTTTTATTTAACACAGTCCTCTTCTTAGGTTAGATAGACATGTCAGAGGTGAACTTCATTTTAATGACATTCTTAGAGATCAATAAAGTATTTATAAACCCAAACCTCTGAGTATAGTACCTTCATCTTTGTTCTTTTAAGTCAAATTATTTTATCTTATTTCAATAAAACTGAATAGGTACTACTTTATTAATTGGTCCTGAATTCTCAAAAGTAAGAACAATCCAGATGGGCCTTGGATAGAACTTCTTATAGGCTGATCTTGTTCGAGTGAAAGGCAATTGGGATGTTGCTGTTGCGAATTATACCCACAGTGATGACGTGAGTACATTATCATCTCCAGTGACCGCAAGGAGCCAGACGTTTTGCCAGCCATATGCTGTTTCTAAGAGGGACCTAAATGTATATTTCATTTAACTCTCCCAGACCTTGTGAGGCAGACTGCTGTCCCCCTTCTATAGTGAAACAGGCATAACAGAATTAGGAAGTTGTTGTCATATAGTTTGTAACACAGGTGTGATCAGAATTTGGCTGGCTGGCTGACTCAAAGTACAGGTTTTGAAGATCCATGTGGCTCTCTCAGTAGGAACAATGTAGTCTTAAAAACTCTGAAAATGTAGTGAGGCTTTTCAGATTAGTGGATATTAGGTGGAGGTAAAGACAGAAGAAAGCATGACTGAGATACTGTTGTTACGTGGTATTTTCAAAACTACGAGGGCTAATACTGATTGTTCTATACATATGCTTAAAAGGAGAGGGAGTTCTAGGTGCCAGTGAGGAACAGCAGACTGAAAAATAACCAAGCAGATCTGGGTAGATCCAAATAGAAACTTTAGAAAGTAAAAGATAAGCGGGCTGGCAGGTGGCGTTGTGGTTGAGACACTGGACTCCCACGTGGCCAACCGCCATTCGAGTCCTTGACCTGGTGGCTTTTTCTCTCTCTCTTTCTGGTCAAATTGAAGAATAATGATAATAACTAATTCTTTTAAAAATTATAAGATAGATAAATAGCAGATTAGACATAGCTGAAAAATTAGTAAGCATGAAGATGGATCTAAGAATTGTTGAAAGCATAGAACAGAGGTGAACAGGTAGGGACTGAAAGCATGTTGGTATAGGACGAAGATTGCGAAGATCAGCTCTTTCTTTTAGACCCTCTATAAGAAGAAGATTTAAAAAATAAATTAAATGACAGAATAACACATTCATAGTCTTGAGAAAAAGTAACTGGCAACCATATTTGTTTGCCCAGTTGAAGTAACATCCAAGGCAGGGTGATAATAAAGACATTTTCTACAGAATTTACCTTCAAAGGAAACTGACAAAAATCCTTCCAGAGAAAGGAAAAGTATCTCTGAAGGAGGATTCCGGTGCAAGAAGAAAAACAGTGGGTAGATGCTGCTATACGTGTGTGCCGAACTCTGGTGGTTCAAGAAGAGAGCCTTGCCGCCTGAGAGCTGAGGCCACATGGGAGGCTGGGGCTCTCACCAGGCCGGTTTGGTAGCGCACATGTACCTATGGGCCTTGCCGGCTGAGGAGCCGAGGCAGGAGAAGAGTGGGGTGGCAAGACCCTGTCAAAAACACCTCTCCCCCCTGCACTCTCTCCCTCATAGTAACAAAAAAGAAAACCAAAAGGAAAGCATTTGTTCCATCAAATAGAAGTAACGATCAGATTGTCAATTTGACAGACTCCCACAGGAGGCCGAAGAGTAAGCAGCAAGGGAGCCGAGTACACCAGGCAGATAATAACTGGGGGGGAAGGTGGTTACTGCTTTCCTAGGACTATGAACAAAGTAGAGAGCCATTGTGAAAAGCAGTGTTCGGATTGAGTATAACAGATCCCCCTGCATCCTGACAGAGGTCCATTCACCAGCCATGCAGCGACCGTTCTTCACTCAGCAGCCCGCATGCCAGCCTTCTGGTTTTCCTCTTCTTTTTGACTACTTGTAGCCTTCTGCTTCTTAGCCTTTACATTTGGGGGTGTTCTAGTCACCTCTTTTCTTACTCTACTTTCCCCAGCCCCCTCTCTTTGCCATTAAATTCGCACATTTGATTGGGTGGACCCAAGGAAACCAGCAAATTGGCTGCTGTAGTACTCAGGTAACAGCGTACAAGGTGGCCAGGGTGAGGGTATAACAAGCCAGGACAAGCATCGTATAGGGGTGTACCTTGAAGGTGGACCTGAAGGACCTGCTTATGGGTCTTTTAGAGTATAAACCGTCCAGTCAAACCTGTAAATCATGCCTTCTCAGAAACCTTAGTGAGCTCTCTTCTCTCCTCTCACCCCTCACCTGGAGCCCCTCTGGAGTTTCGGGTTACCTTAGTCCTTATCTGATGCATTTTCTTGCTTCCTCTACTCGAATGACATTGGTCCCTTTGAAAGCTCAGTTTTCATTGAACTCCTCAATCTATTCAAGAATTATTTCTGTAAGTACTCAGGTTAGGATCTGGTTTGAGTAGATTGCCAGCTGTAAGTTCTTGAATACAATAGTTTTCCATCTTAATTTATGCTACCTATGTCTCCTTTCCCTGTTTTGCCTTACGGTTTCTACTTCTCAGATCTTGCCCCTGGCTTTCTTACTGGTTTTGGGTGGGCCATGCATATCACTTGTTGGGCCCTTGAACTTGGGGGTGGCTGTGCTGAGCAGGGTGAGTGCACACCTGCCCCTGCTTTCCCGTGGCTCTCTTTGGCCCAGAGCGCTCTGCCTAGCTGAGGCTCCTCACGATCTCTCATCAGCCCATAATGGTGTTAGTTTTTTGGGTTTTTTTTTTTTTTTGCTCTCCCCTCCCCTATTTATGAGAGGTGGGAAGGAAGGGGGACAGAGTCAGGTACTTTGGGCAGGTATTGCAGTGTTGCAGTCCTCCGCCCTGGCCTCCCAGTTAGCTAGGATTATCACACCTGGTGTGTTCAGGTTGCCCTGGAACCAGACCTGGGCCTCCCTTTTAGCCTTTCTTCCATTGTGGCTGGGCCTCTGGTGACTTTTTATGAACCAGGACGGACATTATGTATTTGTTACACTTTCCTCCTTTGGGGACTTTATTTTATTCACTGCTCTATTCCTGGTCTTAGCAGTGCCTGATACATAATAGGTACCCAGTAAAACATACAAGAATGAAAATAGAATAAGCACACACGTGTGATAATGCAGTTGTAAGCCAAGAGGCAAAGTAATGTGAGAAACTTGTACTCTAGGAGCAGCAGCCTCAGTTAGTAAGTGTTGGCAACAGTGTTGCATGTGCCCACATGTTGCTTACATGGGCCATCACCGTGATGCTCAGCACTTGATGCATTTTACCAGACGGAATTGTTACTGTGTCACTACTTCTCTTGTTATTTTACATGTGAGAAAGCTCTGCCTTAGAGACTTAATAACTTTCCCTGGGGCAAAACAAGCTTAAACGGGTGGCAGGGTGCCAGTTGAATCCGCACACTCAGGCGTCCCTCCTCTACTACGTCGCTTTTTGTACTCACCTCATTCCACAGGAGGGGAATG